GGTAAGAAGAGCAATAAGTTGGACAGTCACTCTTTCATCCACAAATGGGAGGAGGAAAACATGAACAAAAAGTGCCGCAAGGCTAAACTCTCAAAGCCCACCCCCAGTGATGTGCATCCTCCAGCAAGGCTCCACCTCTTAACACTTTCCTAACATCTCCAAACAGTGCCGTGGGGACCAAGTGTTTAAGTAGACAAGCCTATAGACAGTAATTCTCACAGACGATCACACTCTACCCCGGAACTTCATAGGCTTCTGTCCCCGCATGTGAATATACTCTAGTGAGGTCATGAGACTTCAATGAGGTTGTGAAATGAGGGGAGCCTCTTTTCGGTGCTCTGTGGGGAGGGGGAAAAGAGTTAGGGAGGAAGAAGATTCTGTCGCCGGGGTCCATCAGCACCCTGTGGAGGGCTGGTTGAAACCCAGCACTTTGTGATCCTCCTGGAGCTTATTCAGATCATCACAATGCTGGCAGATTCCACAGCTGTGAGCATATCTGCTGTGCACTCAAACATGGGAGCAACCCAGTCCTATTAGAGAAGTAAATCGCTGGGGACCATTTCCAGAATACCAATTCCAAGTCTTTCAGTGCCCCGGGAGAAATAGATGGCATTTAAATTGGAAGCACTTGAGAAGCATAAAGACTTTACGATGTGGGTGAGTACAGAGAACACACAAGGCACTTGGGTAGTCTGCAGCAATAATGTAGTTACAGCCCGAGTGACCTTCACCCCTCCGTCCAGCAAGCCAACAAGAAAGATGAGGAAACCATTGGCTGAGGCACAAAGGAAGCCAGAAGAGGAGGAGCCCTGCAGCAGCTCTTCTTCCGTCAAAGCCCCAAGAGTCTCTCCAGAGTCTCCACCCAACTTGAAGCCAGTGGCCGGCTCTGTCCTTGACAGGGTCCTCACGTGTGTCTGAGGAACAAGCTTGTGGTTTCCTTTCCTCACATGCTCTCGGCAGGTTTTTTTTTTTTTCTGTCAAAGTTTGTAAGTTTCAGTTGAGGAGCACAAACAGCTGTGATTCTCTGGAAGAGCTTGCGCAAGCTGGGGATGGTCTGTTCCCTCAAGGCTGGAGGGAATTATCTGCTAAAGCCCTCGGAGCCCCGGGGATGTGTTGTGGGAAGATTTTCAATTATTGCTTCCATTTGTTTAGTAGCTACATTGTTTTTATTTCTTTTTGCAATCTGGTTATACTTTAAAAAAAACAAACTCATCCATTTCTTCTAAATTAAATTTATTGGTGCACACTTTTTATTTTCTTTTTGGTGTCTGCAAGTCTTGAGATGACACCCTTCCTTTTTCATTCTAGCCCTGGTAATCTGTGCCTTTTCTCCAGCCTTAGGAGAGTTTTAGTTTAGCAGAAGGCTTGCCAAAGCACCTCGCTTTGGGTCTAACTCATCCTTGTTTTGTGTTCTCTCTCTCTCTCTCTCTCTCTCTCTCTCTCTCACACACACACACACACACACACACACACACATCTCACCTTCCCTTTACGTTCACTGTTACTGATTTGATAAAATGGAAAGACTTATTTTGTGGATGTGAATGTACCAGAATATTCCAAGAGGAGGAAAGCCAGAACTGGGTGTGTGGGGGGACAGACGTCACGCTCAGGCAGAAGACCTTGGCCAGGCTGCCCCTCCCAGCTGCTCCCCTCCCTCCCATCGCTGCAGTGTTACCTGGCCCAGCTTCACATCCCCCTCAATCCCTAGTCCATTCTCCTCCAAGGCAGTTCCAGAAACAGGAACAGAGTGCCTGCCTGACCCTCTCCCATCAGAGTATCAAGCACTGGTATTTCCAAACCTAGAGAACTGGGTGGCAGAAATGCATGGTTCACAATGCGGTGTGCAAGGAGTGGTGTGGAAAGACTCTGCAAGCACTGGACCTTCACACTAAATTCCGCTTGGGAAAAGGTACTGATGGACGCGATTCTGTGAAAGCTGACTGGCTTAGCCCTTTGCCTACTACTCGCTTCCCTCGGGGCTTTGGGTGCGTTCTTTAATCTCTCTACACCTCTGTTTCCTCATCCATCAAGTAGACAAGATGATAAAGACACGTGCCTCCTCGGAACTAAATACATACCATGGGCAAAGCCTTCTTTTATGGTTTTCTTTCTCACGTTGGAGGAAGAAGAAACAAATAACCTCTTTGAATTGCTGCCTGCCTGCAGTGAGCTCTCGGGACATAGCCCTGGTCTCGGTCCCCTCTGGCTCCACTTGCTGGGCTGCACAACCCATGGCTTCCGTCTTGCATTTCCTGGTGTATTATGTGACACCCAATGCCATCTTGCTGAATTTGGTGACCTCTGTCTTGGTTATGACTTGGCCTGAAAGTCTTCGGACAGTCCCTGACGTGAGCTCCTTACTGAAGACTAGCAGAGTAGCTAAAGGAAAGAGGCCAGGATTAACCTAGACAGGGGTGTGCAGGTGACCTGGTGTGCAGGTCTCTGCAGCTCTTCTGTGCTTGCTGCTCACCGCAGTCAGCCTCTGTAGCCCACAGCTGACTCAGCCAGAGGAATCCAGTCTGTCTCCCTCCTCCATGACCTCCCTTGCCTTTTGTCCCTCTCTCTTTCTAGGAACCCCCAAGTCAACAGGCCCACATCTAAGCCAATCAGAAGAGCAAGGCTTTCCAGAGCCTTGATTATCTCATTCCAAAACTAGAAAGCTGAAGTTGGGTTAGAGACAGAAGGAACTCTCCTGTCCAGCTGCAGACCATCCTAGAGCAAGACTGGTACCTAAGCTGCCTGCTCCAAACCCAGAACCACGTCTGCGATGCTTCTGACCATAAGGCACTGCAGATCTGGGACCATACCAGGCCCTGCCCACTGGCCATGCACCAGACTCTGCCAGGTGTCAAGGATATGTCCCCGCCATGCAGCCAAGAGAGAATTCTGAGATCTCAAATCGCATATCAATACTCTCCACCAAACATGGGGCCTGAGGCAGGAGCTGCAGACCTGGGATCCATTTGGGATGATTGCTTTGCCTTGCCCTGCAGGTGCCTGCTGTTACAGCCAGATGGAGAAGCTCTGCTTACTCCTAAAGCCTTTCCTCTGTGACCTTGTTCCCGATTGTGGCCAGATCCTGAACACTTCCTGATTCGTCCCAGCAGGAATATCCCTCTGAGAGAACCGAAGAGCGGTCAGCTCAGCAACACCACCTGTCCCCAGTAGGCTGTCACAGGGACAGAAAGCCATGTGGGTGGAAAGTCACAAAGGTAGAAAAGTCTCGCTCTCCAAGACTTCCCCATCACTATATGTCCCCTATCTAAGCTGTGCCCCAGAATTTAGATACCAGATGTCCTGGAGCCTGAGGGTGGAGAAATGGTATCAAAGCTTCGCCAATCCTATAGTACAAAAGTGTCCAGAGAAGCCTGAGAACTTCCCACAAGTGCCCCGCCACCGCCACCTAGTGGCTGCAGGCTCTTCACACCCTGGCTTTAATTCATCAACCACCAGGAAAGATTCTACAGAGTGATCTAGAAGAGCAGCCTCTGGAGGTCCCTCCTCTCCCCACACCAGGGCAGCCCTTGGGCGTACCAGGCAGAGGCAGAGTGAGTGAATGGGTCCCAGGAGCATCCTCAAGAGGGCTCCTCCTGTCTGCATCTCTCCTCCATTGGCAGTGCCCAGTGCTCATTACACACAGAGCTCTATGCCTATGTCAAGCAAAAGTGGGGCCAAGACACTGTGCCACACCTGGACCAGAGCTCCATCCTCCAGGACCTTCGCTGTTCTGCTCATACTTAGACCCTGCCAGACCATGAGAGGTAGCAGTTTTGTTCTCCTCCCAGCTTTCCTGTCTATCCTCTGGAATAACCTGACTGTTTTTGATTCAAAGCATTCCGCACCTTCAGTGTTACTATTATTTGAATCCTCAGTGGTGTGGGCTGTATTGTGAATACTGATCACCTGTTTTTATGGTGCTAGGATCTCAACACTGTCCTTTGTGCACACTGAAAAAATACTCCATCATCACATTACACCCTCAGCTCCGATGGTTATTTTTTAAAGCAAGGTCTAGAGAAAGTTGGTTCTTGACCTCTTGAACCTCGGGCCCTGCCCTCTGTAACCTGAGTAGGTTTCTCTCCAGCTTTCAAAGCTGAACTGTGTGCCTGAAAGAAAGGTGAAGGGACACTGTGACTTAGGGCCGGCCTAAGTTATGAGTGTGATGTTTGCTAAGTGGGTAACAGGAGGATGGATGCCATAGGAAGACCCGTTGAGTTTTCTTTAGGGCAAACTCTCGGCCATTAGGGGGCGCTCTAAGGTAATCAGGGCGGTGCAGCATGCAGGAGGGGATGTGATGTTCATAGTCCTCTATGTGTCTGACATGGGCTCTTCTGAGTGCCCGGAACAGTGCCTCTAATGCTACTTTTCTGACCTGTAATTCTTTCACTTCATACTCAGCTCCTGCCATCTGCTACTCCTTTACTTTCAGAATCCCCCATTCATGCCCAAAGTCGCTTTCCTGGGTCTGTTACACACCTCTAGACCTCCCCAGGATGTCCCTTGGCCTGAGTTTGTGGCCCTGACATTCTCTACGTCCTTCTCCAACCCCGATGGCCTCATTTATAAAATAGAGTCGGCAACATCTTACAGGCAGATAAACACAAGACGCCCCTCCACCTAGAGCATATGCTACCATTACTCCATCCTGAGCTTTTGGGGATGCAGGCAGGACCCCCGTCACATGGGCTCCCATCCCAGTGTGAACCCAGCCTTGTGCCAGTTGGTTGTTCTACTATGGCTCCCTCCACCACCAAAGCTGGAAGAGAGGCCATAGCACAGCCTGGATCAAAACTTATCCTATGTAGTGGTTTCCCTGGCCCCAGGTCCAACCTGCCCCCAGCCTTCTAGACCCTGCTTTCCACTCCCAGTTTCAACCAAGTCTGAACCCTGAAGTCCTCATGGAGTCCAAGAAACAGAGGCTGTGGGTGTTGAAGATTCCATAATTTAAACAGAGAGTACCATAAAATAGCTTATCATGTGACTGAGATGGGTGCGCCTGTAACAGTGGGCAGAGGGTGACGGCAGTTGGAGGGTGGGGGACTGAGTGAAGGGATGCTCCAGTCTCGGGGCCGGGATGGGAAGGCGGAGCTCAGCTTCACCTCAGCAGGCAGGGTTTCACCTCCTTCAGGTAACGTTGAACCCACGCATCTGTACTCTTGGCACAGCTTTCTTGACCTTTCTTCATCCTGAATCTGTGAATAGAGGACATGGGCAAGGACCCGAGTCACCCACTAGGAACCTGGAACACTCAGAGGCCCCTGAGCTCCCCGCTCTGTGAACGAAGGGACTGTATATGATCTGAAGGCACACTGGTGTCACATTGGGAGCTGATTAGTGGGGACCCCTGGACCCTCCTTTAGGGACTAGGATTCCCTCTATAAGGCTGGGGCAGAGGAGCTGGCCAACATCCTGATGCGTAGCGAGGATAAAACTTCGCCATCCTAGAACAACTCCCTGCTCCCGCTTTGAGTGTTTGTGTATCCATTCGGGACCCACACATTGCTCTGGGTTCGTGGTGTAGGTGTGTGTGTTTTGTGTGTGTGTGTGTGTGTGTGAGAGAGAGAGAGAGAGAGAGAGAGAGAGAGAGAGAGAGAGAGAGAGAGAGAAAGAGAAGAAGAGAGGAGAGGAGAGGAGAGGAGAGGAGAGGAGAGGAGAGGAGAAGAGAGGAGAGGAGAGATTGATTCTTTTCCATCTGTCCACTTCCTAATTTGATTGGTATTCATTCCACAAACCAACTCTGCCTCCTACTGGCCAATGGTCTTAGACAACCACCTCTGCCTCCCCAAACTCAGTTTCTCTCTAACAAAGTGTATGTTCCTAAGAGGATCAGCAGGAGTCATAACAGGAAAGCGCCTCAAAATGCTGACCTTGTGTGTGAGTCACCTCAATCCGGCTACTAATGACCCTGAGATACAGGCAAGTTTCTGCTTTGTCCCTCTTTACAGACCAGAGTCAAAGCACAGGGTAGGGGAAGAGTTTCCTGTCCAAGGCCCCTGGAGAATGCAGCTTGGCAAATTGGTAAATGAGTGTGGTGTGTGTGTGTGTGTGTGTGTGTGTGTGTGTGTGTGTGTGTGGTGTTCATGGTGGTGGCCACAGGTTGGTTGGTAAGAAGTCTTCCTCAATTCATTGTCTGTCTATCTTGCTTTTTGAGGCAGGGTCTCTCATTGAATCTTGAACCTGTTTCAGTCAGGTCAGAACCAGCAACCCATGGGATATGTCTGTCTCTGCCTCATCCAGCTGGAGGAACAATCTCACACCACTTTGATCTATTTCCTGCGTGTTGGCAGGGAATATGAACTCCTTGGACAGTCAAACACTCTACCCACTGAGCCAACGCTCCAGCCTGTCTGTCGCTTTGGCTAAGCATTTCCTTCTGGCTAGATAATATGGGATATAATCATGGCTTCACGTAAAGATAGTTATCTGCCTTTGCACTTGGGGAGGAAGTCCTAATTTATTTGGCGTTCAAGCAAATAAATCGGAACTCCCCCCTGGGAAGCCCTATGCTCCCCCTTGTGATCAAGCAGGGCGCTGCACCACGGTTTGCCTAATTGGGTTTAGAGTCCCTATTCCTGTAGAACAGCGCCATCTAGTGTCCGCTATTCTCATTCCAGTCCGCGTTATCCCTCCCCAAGCTAGAGGCTGGTCAGTGCTCACTCACACAACAGCACGGTGGGAACAGGAGGGGCTGATCGCTCTGTAACACTGGATTGACTTCTGGGGAGGCATTTTCTTCAGAAAGCTGAAGCAGCAGCGAGAGGAGGCCACGTGCACTAGAAGAAAAACACGGAAGACCATTATTAGCGCCCATACCTCAGCCTCCCAAACACACAAGGATTAAAACGGAAAGCCTACAAAGCCTTTGCTAGGACAGACTCAGGCTTGGAGACCATATCCAGATGGCCATGGTGCAGCCTTGCCTCTCCAGCCACTCATCTCTGGAGAATACTCAGAAGGCTGAGGGGGTCAGAGCTAAGCACCCCACAAAACAGCAGAGGGTGGAGACATTAACCACAAGCCAGCCTGAGCCCCTGACTCAGCTCACACCCCTGTCCGTACACTGAGATCCCACAGATACAGCCCTCTTCAGTTTCCGTCTCCCATCGCAAGCACAGAGCTTTGTACCATACAAGTACTTAAGCTCTACAGTTCTAGACTCATATTCTAGGGAACCTGTTACCCCATTACACGCAGGACATTGCAGTTCACGGTTTACAGACAGAACCTGGTGAGGAACTGCACAAGAGCTCAGAAGGAAGGGGAAAAGGTGTTCCCAAGAAGTAGTTAGCTAGTCCCTCGTCTACACAATCTCCTGCATCCCCTCCTTGGTCCTCTTTCATAGTCCAATAACCCCAAACTCTGCCGGTCTGTATATTCCCCTCCCCACATCCCACCTTTAAAGTCTCTTGTTCTAACCCTCGCTCCTTCCTAGCCCACAAACCCTTGGGTCCATTGTTAGGTCAGTATTCTCTAAATGGAACACAAGCTCCACTTTAGCCATATAGAAAGGTCTAGTGTTTTCCAGTTATTAGCTCCTGTGGTTCTTCCTTCAACCCCTACCTGCCATTTGTCACACTGTGGAAACTAGACCCAGTTCCTCCTCTGGGCTTCAGGGCTCCCAGCTTGCTTGAAACAACCCCCACTAATCCCTCTCAAGTGTCTGTAGAGTAAGGATCTTCTACACTGAAGCCAGCTCAGCTCTCAAAAGAAAAAGTGCCTCTCAAGAAAGGGCCAGGCTTAGGATCACACCCAGAGGACCCTGGTCCAGGTCTGTCCCCGCAGTCATTAAAAAAAAAAAAAAAGAATCAGAGGTGAGTTTCAGGTCTGAGCTCAACATAAAGCAGTAGATGGCTGCCCTAGCCCAACCTCCTCCATGCCCAGAGCCCTCAGCCCATTCATGCCCTCCATCCCTCATCTCCAGGCGGGAGCAGAGATGGAGCCAGTGAGAGGACTAGATGAGTTCTGCCCTACATCCAGAACACCTGTCTGTACTCTCCCCTCCCCAGGCCAAGTACAGGAACCCCACCACTCACTGCTCTTGCTGTCCACATCTTGTGGCCACATGGCAGCCAGCAGCAGACACATCAGGGCCATGCTGATGAGTTTCATGTTGATGGGTTTCTGGTTTGGGCCTCTCTGGAGCAACCACTAAATGCCTGGTGAAGCCAAGAGCTCTCCTCTGCCGCATCTTGTACTGAGCTTATATCAGGAGGCCTGGGGTGCTTTCCCAGCCCATGAGGAAGATGTGGGAGTCCCAGGGAAAAGGAGCTCATACCCAACGGCCACATGGAAAAGTCCTTTCCTCACCTCTCTGGGGTAGTATTCGAGGTATGTTTGGGTGCCTGATGTCTTGGGAAGTTCCCCAAGTGCAAAGGCAGATAGCTATCTTTACATTCTTGACAAAATACGTGGGAGCTGTCCTGGCTGAGTGGAAAGTCAAGAAAGGTGAAAGAGAGGAAGTGGCCTGCACACAGCTCATCTAACCCACATCATTCCATTCCACGCAGCTCCTGGAGCTGGAGAAGGTCGGAGCACGAGCTCCGAGCTGAATCAAAGCAAGCTCGAGCTTGCGTGTGGATCCCAGCTCTGCTAATCAGCAATATCACAAACGTATCTCAGCTGCACATCCCTGCCAACACAGAACCAGCTCCTATCTCAAATGTGGGCAATAAAAATGCAGTGAGGAACCGGGGAGGTGGCTCCATCAGCAAAGTCCTTGCTATGCTGTGAGGACCAGATGCCCAGAACCCACCACAGTGGCAAACTTTTGTAATCTCAGAACTGGAGAGGCTGACAGGCAGATCCCTGGAGCTGGCTGGTCAACCAGGCTAGCCTATTTGGGGAGTGCCAGGTCAATAAGAGACCTTATCTCACACACACACACACACACACACACACACACACACACACACAATTCAAAATAAGATCCTCTCTGTCAAATGCCTGGCCAACATACTTGCTATCTTCTGTTTTTATCTCTGGTCCCCAGCCCTTTCACAGCTCACTCTGTCCCAGGTCCTTGGTTACCCCTGGGAACACAATTGCCAATGGATGCAAAGCCTGACCTGAGCCATTTTACTTCGGCTTACAAACTGCAGAGAGCCATCTAGCACGACTACTCAGAAAAGACAGATATGCCATGTGGAGAGCACAGGAAAATGTTGGAGACACCCAGGGACGCTAAAGGACCCTTCCAGGGCAGTGTTCAGTAAGCACCATGTTGCTGTGGAGACAAGGAAGGACTCTGTAAAAGCCAAGGTACAGAGGAATACACTTCACCTATTGCCAGCCGAGTGCAGTACAGCCCACTGGACAGTTACAGCTCTTCCTGTTACATCCCCAAGAGTCACGTACCAGTCATCCCTTCTGCCATTGACTTTCCCATCTCCAGTATTTCATTCCTACTGTAACGTCTACCTGACCCACCCTCCTCGCCAACTCCCCGGGTACCCAGTCCACTCATTTCAAACACCTTTCTTCAACAGAAGCCATTGGGCAGATCTTGGGCTCCTCTTAAGCCCCTTCATCTGGAGGGCAATATCAAGTCCTTAGCTTCTGGCATCTTCCCATGGGGACCCCCTCCATGCTACCGTGGTGTGTCTGAGTTGAAGGTGTCTTTCAAGACCTTCAGCAGTGATGACTCTTGACATTCCTGAGGGAGCTTTGTCAAAACTGGGAATAATATCTTGGCTCCATTTTAGAGTCAGAATCAAAACTCAAGTGCCTGTATATGTTCTAAGAGAACTCCGGGTGACTGTCAAAGCACCAGAAGATAAAATCTTCACAGTAGAGAAGGGTGGGCGGTGGCTTTCGGAAGAGGAAAGTCATGGGCTCGATGTTATATTGAGAATGGAGGCGGCGTGGGGTGCAGGGACTTCAGCCCTGGGTATCTAAGAACAGAATCAGCTCTCATGATTTCTACACTACTGGACCAATGCCAATCAGTCCCCTACTGCTTCCTGCCACCCAAGAAGTCATTAAAATCACCACCCTATTGCTGCCTCTCTGATATGCCTTTGTCTCTGGAGGCTGATGTGGTTTTGATCCCTTACCCTGGGGTCTTGGGAGAGAGGAGTTGTAAGTGTATGTTGACCAGCCAAATGCAACTTCAGATACTTTAGTCTTGGGCAATGAAGAAGGGGGCCACACAGCTGCCCAGAAAATTCCTGGTTCCTCCTCTGTTCCTGGGGCTGTCCCTCCAACGACTCACTGCCTATCCCCTCCTCGCTATGGCCACAGCCAATTCCCAAGCAGAAAAGCAGGACATATCAGTACTTTGTCATGCCGTTGCTTTTCAAGCTCCCTTAGCACCTGGAAGGAAGTGGTCAAAGGTAGGCTCTTACCATTCTACAATTTCATATTACATATGAGTAACCCAACATGGTTGTCAGGGCCCACAGGCCCGGATCAAGTAATAGCTCAACAAAACCACCATGGAATTGAGCAAGCAGGAGCAGAATGACCCACGATGGATTGCTGAAGAAGGAAGTGATCCCAGGGGTCAGTCTTGCTATAATTCACACAAGCAAACCTTCTCTTCATTGCTTCTAGACAAATGCTTGTCACTCATCTTTCATTTGCTAGGTTCCCACTGGGTGAGAATGGGAACCAGGTGGCACTGAGCCAGGGTCGAATTAACCCAAGATGAGTCCGCCCATTGGAGGCTGGCGCTGTCCAGAGGCATTCAGCCCAGCCCAACCTACCGCATGCTATTCAATTACAGGTCAGTTTGTCCTTCCAGACCAGGTTATAGACAGCCCCTTGTCATGTGTTTAGCATGGCAGAATTGCAGAGGAGTCTTGGTCCATCTCTAGGGTGGGGTCTTCCATTCGTTCCTTCAGGGAGAGGAAGAGAGCCGTGCCTCAAGCCAGACACGTCAGATCTCACTTCTACCGCTTCCCCTTGGGCAGGTCACACAGGCTTTCTCAGCCGTGTTCCCTCTTGGACCTAGGACAATTCCCCTCGTTGCTTTCAAAATAAACTTCCTAATGCTTAGCCTAATTGTGGGTGGTTGGAAGGGTTCCCCGAGATGGAAGAGGAGATGAAAGGGAAGGGAAATTGCGTCATCGGAAACTACTGAGCACCTAACACAGGTCAAGTACTAGGGAGCCAAGTGAATCTCGGGGGACTCACAGCTTCTGCAGAGGTAGATCTCAGAGGAGGGTTGAAGTTTGGGAAGTGTTCTAGAGAAGACGGTATCTTGGAGAGGCTGCAGAATTCACTGAAATCATCCTGAAAACTGGATCCTCTTTGCCACCCACGGGTGAAGTCAAGAAAGTGTCCCCATCTCCCAAACAGGGCTCCAGTCTCCAGTCTTTTTCTACTAGTCGGGTCCACAGACACCAAGGTCAAGCTTGTGTGCCTAGTGGTGTGGACACAGTGTCCTTCTGGGTCTTTGCTATCAGTCCCAGGCAGCGTCAGGTAAATGGAAGTCCATTCATGGTAAGGATGCTCAGCACCCACACACCACAGAACCCTAAGCCCTGTCTCCCTTACTTCTGGCTCCTGTGGTTTTCAGCTACTGGACTCTTTCATTCTTCACAGGAGACCTTTCCTGTCTATGGATCAGTGGCAGCACAGAGGAGACAGAAGCATCTCTCACTACAGCAGGCAGGAAGAAGGGTGCCCTGGTTGTCACAGCAGGTGACCCTCACCAGCCGTGATGTCCCTTGAATGTGCTTCTGAGCCTGAAAACCCAGCCTGTTGTGCTCAGGGTGAAGTACAAATGTCTTGGCTGCAGTTGCAAAGCCCCCAAGTGATGGCCCAGGTCACTGGAGTATTTGTCTTCAGGTGTCCAGTCCTTCCGCTCCTTCTGTCCATGCTTCACACGACTGACTTCCGGCAGGCTGTGCCATCCCAAGTTCCTGCTGAGAGTCATCCAGTGCAGGCTCTTCACAGTTTGGAAGCCCTGCTGGGGCTCCTGGAGGACAAGAGTAAGTCTTCTATGCTAGTAGACCACTTTGTACTAGGGTCTTATCACACCTGGGATGTAGCAAGTAGTCGAGGTGAGAAGAAGAAGAAAAGGTTTGTACCCACGGAGGCCTCAGACCTTAGTAGACAGGCAGGAGTTACCTAGGTGGCCAGTTGTGGAATCAGAATAAGGAGATGGAGTCCTCACCTGTGTCTGATCATACTGCGTTCCAATGCTGGAGACCTTGCAATTCCTGGGTGGGAACACATCACATGTAGGGTCCCTGTGCCAGCTACGATTACATCCTCCATTCTCTTTGCGGACATCTTCTGAGGGCCCACTGTTTACTAGTTCCTGCCTGGTCAGTGAGGCAAGAGAAGGGGTCTCAGCACAGCTCTGCACTCCAGGGCCAGACCCAGAGGAAAGAGCACCCATGAAGCAACTGGGCACCAACTGTCATCAGTGTGTGGTCCAGAGGCTGAGAACTCCGTATGTAACACTGTGGTATTTCACCTGGCCCTGGAAGGATGCGAGTGGATGTGTCCAAAGGTGAAGAAGGTCCGGATCTGCCATGGTGCATGGTGGTTTTGAGCGGGTTCTGGACCAACCTGTAGGCTGCCAACCCAGACTCTCTGAATGCTACTTCAGAATGGGTCTGAGGGTTGCTAAAGCTTTGAGCTTGCCTTTAAAGGGGATGTGAAAGTTCCCTGCTTAGAATCTCAGTGTGTTGTCAAAGACTGGTGCTCAGGACAGTGCCTGGCAGAGTTCTCAAGGACAATGGGAGCAGTGAGGTCAAGGCACAGATACGGAGGCAGGTTCTTCAAACCAACAAGGAGGAGGCCAGGGTCCAGTAACACAAGATTATGCGCACAAGGTTCCTCCTTCGCCCCTGTTGACTGTCACTCATGGCTACCTCGGGACAAGGCATGCCTGAATTCGTGGGTAGACTTGGGAGGCCCAGGCTGAAGGCTGAAGACAGGAGAGAAGGAGGCATGGGGGCAGGGCTGGAAGCATTCAGCAAGGAATGAAGGAAAGCTGGTCTCTAGAAATAATAAAAAAGAAGTGAGAATCAAGAATCTTCCAGAACCCTGGATAGGTCACTTCTCGCTGGACCTCAATTTTCCCACCAAAAAAGTAGTGGGGGTAGGGAGGTTAGCCTACATGGGCTCTCTTGCCTGGAAGGTCAACTCATGATGGGCCCATTTGGGAAGCTTTAATCGAAAGACAGGGCT